AAACCTATGCACAACGGATCTAAAGGTTTGCGTAGAGAACTTACGGCTTACAATTTATGGCGATCTGGCTGATCTTCTGGATGGCCGTACACAACACACCAATGAATTGTTGACTGCAAATCGCGTCCTAGGATAGAACGAACAAGATCAGATCAAAAACCAGATCAACGAGTGCAAAACGGATGAAGAAAAGTTGCAGTCCTGGGATCTTGCGATGGCACGTGCGGGCGCGTGGGTGGTCGGACGGCTGCACTCTCGATGGCATTCAAAAGCTCTCGTCAAGACGGTCGTGTGGGTATGCTTCACGTCTTGATCGGACCTCTGGTTAGTTTTGTACGACCAAATATATTTTGTCTCAGTTTACCCATAGGTCTTCTACTATATATCTTAAATACCTCTTAATCTTGTACCAGTGGAACAACAAGAAGAAGATAAAGCTCGAATGGGAACTGAGAGAGAAGAGGGGCCTGGGGCGTGTTTCACAAGATGTGGAATTGTCTTCTCTTCCCATGAGCTTAATGATGTATATATAGAGCTACAGTAGGGATCCTTAGGAGATTAGGATTAGGGCTCTCCTTAATGAATTAAAATACTTATGGACCAAGCCACTTATTTTAATTAATTAAATAACATTAAATGGGCCACCAACATAATATTATTGCACTCTCTTTTCCTAGCCCAATTTACAATTGAGACTCCAATAATAATTACTCGATTTATCTCCCCATGTTTAAGATATAATGTCCATTAATTAATTTGATTACTGACAATCAAGAATTAATTAATTTATTATTATTTCACCGAGGCTAGCGCTCATTCATCACATTATTACTATGCCGGAATTTATCCACCTGCATGGTTTAGCATAATAATCCTTCATGAACTCACTCCGGGGACATCATCAAACTAACGCACATGGTGACCGTAAATATCCAAGCAGCACATCCTACATGTAGCAATATTACCCAAGACAGCGGGTCTATTGGCCCAGTTCACTAAGCCTCACCCATGTGAATCAAAATAAAATACTACACATAAATGTCTATTTAATATCTTACAGGTTAAGAGTACTCAGTAATTAACCGAGGCCTAGTTCGTTTGCAACGATCAGTATAAAACGAACTGCTCCTCTTTGGGATCCTGTTCAATACATAAATGTACTAGTGCAACTAATCAGTCAAGACAAACTGTACAGTTGACACTACAACCCTTCACGATGGGGTGTTCATGTCCATCTGGGTTGTGAACCACTTATTCTTGTTTCACGAGTAACTGATAGCATGATCTTCGGTTCGCCCGATGACGACCCACACTATCTAATGCAAAACAACAGAACATAGAACTTGTTTAATCTAACATGTTTCTCATCCATAAAGGGTAAAAGTGTAATATTATCCAAAGCCAAGTTTTCAGTATATAACACTAACAATCTCCCACTTATACTTAAAGCTTTCGCTTTTACAAGTATAGTCCTATCAATCCGTTATTCTAAAAGACCTATGTCGATCCTATCACCATGCACTTGACTCCCATTCCTGTCACGTGTTTGACGAAGACCTTCTCCGGCAAAATCTTCGTGAAAGGATGAGCTAGGTTGTCCTCATATTCAATCTTGGCAACATCAACGTCTCCTCTACCAACTATCTCTCGGATCAGATGGTACTTGCGCTCTATGTGTTTACTTACTCTGTGGGCTCGTGGTTCCCTTGAATTTGCTACTGCTCCACTGTTATCACAGTACACGGTGATACTACGTGGCAAACTCGGAATCACCTCTAAGTCTACCAAGAAGTTTCTGAGCCAAACTGCCTCTTTCGCTGCCTCTGAGGCTGCTATGTACTCGGCTTCCATGGTGGTGTCTGACACGCATTTCTGCTTAGCACTCCTCCATAAAATGGCTCTACCTCCGAAGGTAAACACATAACCAGAGGTTGACTTACTCTTGTCCCTATCTGACTGGAAATCAGAATCACAATAACCCAGAGGTAACAAGTTGTCTGCACGGTAAACTAACATGTACTTCTTAGTCTTTCTCAAGTACTTGAGTATATGCTTCACCGCAGACCAATGTTCCCTACCCGGATTACTTTGATATCTGGCTACTAAGCTAACAGCATAGCTGATATTTGGCCAGGTACAAACTAGCATACATAAGACTTTCTACTGCCTATGCATAAGGAACTGTCTTCATGTCCTCAATCTCTTGAGGCGTTTGAGAGAGGGATTCTTTTCCTGAAAGGCAGGGTACCTTTCTTGGAATCCTGCATGCTGAACCTAGCCTAGACAGTATCTATGTATGATGACTGGGATATGTTGGGACCTATGAGGATCTCGATATGCACAAATCATGGATAAACATTCAACATAAACCTATGCGCAGCGGATCTAAAGGTTTGATGTAAAAAACTTACGGCTTAAATTTATGTAGATCTGGCTGGCCCGAACAGATGACCGCAAATCAAATCTTCTCGGAATCGAACAAACTTGATCAATCCAGAAAGTTGGCGTCACGGCAAAGTCAACGGCGTTAACCGGTCGGAAAACAGAGCATTCACGCGCTCTCACATGCGCGCGTGAGTCCCAGCAGCTGCTATCTTCTGGTGGCGCGTGTGGGCGCGTGCGGCGGCGGCTGGCGGCGATCTCTCCGGCTCGTCGTCCTGGTCGTCGTGGTATGGTCACTTGCTGGTTTTGGTCTCTGGTTTGGATGGATGATAGATCTGATTAGAATCTCGTATATACCTTAAGATCTTTTACTGTAATCTTAAACAGCTATCTAGATCTTGTATCAGTGGAGCACAAGAAATAGAACTCCTTGGAAGAGAGAGAGAGAGAGGGGCGGACGTGTTTTTGGGTTGTGGGATTGTCTCTCTCTTCCAAGAGCCCAATGCTGTATATATAGAGCTACAGTAGGGACCCTAAGGAGAATAGGATAAGGGCTTCTAATATATTAATATTGTGGAGCAACCCCACAATTAATATATTAATAATATTAAAGTCCACCACAATAATATTATTGCACTCCCTTCACCTATCCCAAATTACATTTGAGACTCCTTATTATAATTATCCGATTTACCTCCCCATGTTTAAGATATAATGTCCATTAATTAATTCGATCACTAATAATCAAGAATTAATCGCTCGCTCATAGCATTCATATTATGCCGGAATAAATCCACCTGCAGGGTTTAGCATAATATTCCTTCATGAACTCACTTCGGGGACATCATCAGACTAACGCACATGGTGACCGTAAATATCCTAATAGCACATCGAACACATAATGTCATTACCCAATTCATTAAGTATGTCGACCCGGCTTGGATCTCACCCAAAGAATCAAAGCAACAATAATTATGTGCACATGCCTATTTAATATCTTACGGGTTAAGAGCACGCAATAATTAACTGAGGCCTAGTTCGTTTACGACGATTAGTATAAAACGAACATCCCTCTCTGGGATCCTGTTCAATACATAAATGTACTAGTGCAACTAATCGGTCAAGACAAACCGTACGGTTGACACTACAACCGTTCCGATGGGTTGTTCAATTCCATCTAGGTTGTGAACCAATGATTCTTGTTTAGCAAGTAACTGATATAGTGATCTCCGGTACGCCCGATGACGACCCACTTATCTACATGCAAAACAACAGAACGTGGAACTTATTTAACCAAACATAATTGTCATCCATCAAGAAATAAAAAGTGTAATATCCACTAGAGCAAAGCTTAAGTATATAACACCAACAATCTCCCACTTATACTTAAAGCTGCCGCTTTACTAGTGTAGTCCTATCAATCCGTATCCTAAAAGTCGATCCTATCACCATACATTTGACTCCCATTTCCTCTACGTGTTTGGCGAAGACCTTCTCCGGCAAACTCTTCGTAAAAGGATCAGCTAGGTTGTCTTCTGATGCAATCTCGGTGATCTCAACGTCTCCTCTTGCCACAATATCTCTGATAAGGTGGTATTTGTGCT